AGCACCATTTTAGTGTGTATATGCAAAGACAAGGGTTACATCTACATGATTGGCAAATGGGTACAAGGACAAGTTCAGGGATGACTTTGATTGGAAGGCCAGTGCTTTGCAAAATGAAACCCTCTGGCAATATAGTGTTGAAGTGTCTAAGTCTAGAGCAAACTATGCAAAGAGGAGGGCAATTGTTAACATTAAAGGTGTCATGCTAAGTAGTACTGTAGGTTGAGGGATTATTGTGAAGTCATTTTGCAAATGGATCATGGGAGTGTGATGAAGATTGGGTTTTGTCAGGATTGTATAGGTAAAGGGTGTACAGGGGAGTTCTAGAGAATCTTTGTTTGTTTAGTTGAAATGAGGAATGGTTTCAAGGGTGGTTGTTGCCCTATCATAGGGCAGGATGAATGTCACTTGAAGGAACCCCATTCATGGCATATATTACTTGTTGTTGGTCTAGATGGTAACAATGGTATTTTCCCAATAGTGTTTGCTATTGTGGAGGGTGAGATGGAGGATGCTTGGATCTGGTTTTTGAAATTATTACATACTAAATAAATGTCTACTTTCTTTTTCTTGTAGGGGCTGGTGGAGTGTTTTCAAACTCTAATGCCAGGAGCTGATCACAGGTTTTGTGTTAGATACATGTATGCTAACTTCAGTACTCGGTTCAAGGGAAAAGACCTTAGGGATTGTCTTTGGGGTGCTTCTAGGGCATACACTACCCCCGAGTTTCAATGGCATATGGATAAGTTGAAAAGCTTGAACAATGATGCCTATGAGTGGTTAAGGGTTGTACCTTCTAACCTATGTATGGTTTAGATATGATTTTGGACCTAGGGCTAGGAGTGACGATATCTACAACAATTTTTTAGAGTCTTTCAACAAATGGATTTTAGATTGCAAAGACAAGCCCATAATCACTCTTGTTGACACCATTAGAAGGAAAATGATGAAAACGGTGCAGTCAAGACAAGATAAGCTGAGGAAGGACAAGGGCCAATATGTCCTAATGTCCGGAATAAATTAGACATTGCTTAGGCACATGCTAAATATTCTCTGTAATGCAATTATAGGCATTCAATTACAACAAGGCAACATATATGACTATGTTGATTCATTGCACAAAAATGATAGATGTTTGAAGGCATATAGTCATTATGTGCCGCCTGTGCTTGATGAATCATAATGGCAGAGGATAGAAGGTATCCTAATCAAGTCACCACCCTTTAGAAAGAAACCTAGTAGGCCAAAGAAGATTAGGGAGGAAGGGACCAAATGAAGTCACTTTTGGGGGTCATGTGTCAAGGTTTAGGAAGATGAGGTGTACAATTTGTGGGGTTGAAGGGCATAATGTAGAAGATGCAAGGGTCAGGGTTGAGGTAGAAATCAAGTCAATAATAATCAACACCAGGTAAACCATGTCATAGGTATTTTTATGTTTCGATGAATTTGTCTGCCTTCATTATGATTTCTATTCTTTATTTGGTGTCTTCTAACATTTTTTCTAAGTCCTTATGTGTGCATTTTTTTTTCATTTAGAGAAGTATACTTAATTTATTAAGTTAATTTTTTCAGTTTCTTTCCTTATGGTATGCATTTTCTAAGTCTTATGTGCCTACAATGGGGGTTGAAATGTTTTTGTTTTCTTTGTTGTATGTACAAATCAGACAGTCAAGTAATTGTGTGCCAAAAATGGGTAGGGGTGTGGGTAGGGCACAATAGGTTCTTTCACAAATTTCTTCAGAACAAGCTAGTTAATCTACTTCTTCATGGCATGGTATGGATAGGGGCATGTACCTACAAATACAGTCTCAAGCACAACACATTCCCTCACAGGTAAATGGAGTCCTTGGTGTGGTTTGTTTTGATATATCTTGGCACAAACTAATTATACAATATTAAATATCCTAGTGTGAGCTTTGGGAAGCTCATGGCCGGCTTAAAAGTATGGAGTCCCCACCCATTTTTCAGAAGAAATGGGCCCTCATTTTCAGATTCGAAAATTCGACTTATTTGCTTTGATAGTGACCCCTTTCTCCATGGAAAAAACACTGAATTGAGAGATTCTAAATCCAGAAGGATTGGGAGAGAGAAAGTGTTAGGCACCCCTCTCTCCAAGCTAATATGGAAACCCAATACAAGAATCATTCAGGCTTAATTTTTCATGAAAAACAATAGGAATGGTTGTAGGAATTTCCCAAATATAGAGAAATATGCTCACAACTTCTCTTGAGACCGATTTTGAGATGATGTTATCGTGTCTTAGGTACTGATTTCCCTAAGACCCTCACCTCTTTGCCTCTATTCTCAGTTTAGAAGGATTTGAGAACAATAGTTCTCCAAGGTTTCAAAACTTCAAGCAACCTAGAAAATACAAACTTAAGCTACAGAAGGGGTGAGAGGCTTACCTCCCGTAAATGTAACATTGTTATTGAGATTCCTGTAGTTGAATTGAACAAAGAGAGGGCTTGAATGAGCTTGGGAGTGCTTTCAAATTGTTGAAAGTTTGGATATGTTCTGCAAGTTTTAGATCTGAAACATGGTGAATGGATTTTGAATTTCAGGATCAATTGCTTGGGGGTTTTCTCGCGAATGGGGCACCTACAGGAGTTGGGAATTAATGCTCCTTTAGCTCTTTCTTTTATCTTTCATCTCTTTAGATCTGCCCCCAAGGTCTTCCCAAGGTCCTTCTAGCTTGAGTTGGGGTTGTATTTATAGAGAAAAAGAGGGAAAGAGTTTTGAAATTTGTCCAATCAAAGAGCTTGGGCTTTAAGAGAGTTTTTACAAGAAAATGGATAAGGTTTTTTTATAGAAAATGATGCTCAGTCAAATTTTCCTCTTTGATGAAAGATTTTCTTCAACTTGGGGAATGGTTTTCATGGGTTTTGTGTGTCTAATGGGAGCATAGGGCGTGCTTGTCATGGTAGTCTCATATTTGGGGCTGTTAGTGGTAGAAAATGTAAATTTGACCCACATAGAATATGCTATTTTGTCTTTTCTTAGTCTTAAGTGGAGATATCTTTAGGTTTTTGGGCTTTTGGGGTCTATTAGGTTCAATTTCATTGGTCTAGGTGTTTGAACAAGTCAATAATGGGTCTGACATCAGACATCACCCCCTTGTAAGGTTTCAGGTTAGGACAAATGATGTGGTGATTTAATCCAGTGCGTTAAAATGGTATATTTCTAGTTTAATGGTTAAACATATGAATTGGGTTGTGAAATTTGACATGTTGGGGGTCTTTTGGGTCTTTGAACACAGTGGTGAGGTCTGATTAGCCAATTAGGCTCAGGATGATGGAGATCTAAGGCTGATAATCTTGGATTAATGAGATTTTCTAAAATATAATCTTTGCTTGATAAAGGGTCAAACAAGGGAATTTTGGGATGAAATTTGATGGGTAGGTACTTTTGAATGTCATGAATCTAATGGATCTTTGATCAGAAGTGTAGATTTACAAATTTAGTTCGGGTCTGAGTTTTAGCCAATGTTTTATCAGTTAACAAGAGGGCTTGAAATGGAATATCACTTTTTTAATGATCAAATGGAAGAGTGTGGTCATGAAATTTTACGTGTTGGTTTTTTTTTTTTTTGAGATTCAAGAAATACCATAATCCATCCTTGCCTCATCCCCAGTATCAGGGTAAAGATTCAAAACCCATTCCCAGCCCCATCGGGTATGGGGAATCCCTGACATATCCCCAACCCACAACTATTGAAATTGGGGATGGGTAATCCCTGACATATCCCTGCTCCATTGACTAGAAGTTGTAATTCTCATATGTAGAAGCAAAACAGAACCATCTTTTCTCATTCCTTTTAATAAAACAGAGAGTGGACACTCTAATATCTAATCTTTGGGTCTACTTAGTAATCTCTAACCTCTCAAATGAGAAACATAGTTACATAGAATCAAATGAAAAACACAGTTACAGAGAATCAAATGAGAGAGGAAAAAACAGAGAATGCCATCTATCTATCTATCTATCTATCTATCTATCTATCTATCTATCTATCTATCTATCTATATATATATATATATATATATATATATATATATATATATATTATTCCAATTATATTGTAATTTTTTAATTTTATTTTATTATTTCATATATAAACAATTGTATACATCAAAATTCATATAGAATAAAATTTTAAGATTTTTTAATTTATTACTTATTTTGTTAATTTATTTTAATTTTTAATTATTATTTTGATTTTTTAAAAAAATTATGCCTTTAATAGCTTGGCCCACAACCCGGCCCGGGCCTACTTGGGCTTGTACCATGGGTCATGTTGAGCCTGACCTTTGAAAGGTTTTGTGCCAAGCAAGCATGGCCCATCTAGGCCCGCATGCTAGTACTGAAAACAGAAACAAATGTTTGAAGATTTCTGTTCTAATTTCATTSAGAAGATYTGTACAAATATWTACAACTTCTAAGAATCAATCTAGGAGCTATTCTAGGAAACTAACCCACTAATTTAGCCTAAAGAAAAAAAGGAAACTAAATCACAACCTAAATAAAAAA